AGGCTGCTGTCCCGGTTTTTCTCTGTACTTGCTCCCCTGCTTTCTCGTGTGCACCGACACCCAAATGCGCGCCTGCACAGGCTCGAAGCAGCGAAGGGGACGGTGAATGAACCCCAGGAAAGTACAGGAAAAACACGGGCATCCCTTGCGCGCCAGCGTTAGGGCACCGCGAGGAGCTGCACTCGCTGAAGGCGCCCTCCATTTCCCTGCACAACGGGTGCTCCAGATAAATAAGAACAGGAGCAACTTCTTTCCTTTTCATACAATATACTGGCAGTCAAAGCAGTAATCCTTGCCCTAACTGCTGTGGAACATCACAGGATGCGACTTGGCTTTTTGTCTGTAGTTGTCTTTAAAAACGCTCCTCTGTTTCTGCTTAAATTCGTTTTCAGAGAGTTTTCTGGGTTGTAATCAACACCCTCAAACCTGGTTTGCAATGCTAAATACTCCATCAGTCACCTTAGCAATGTATGGGAGGTGCCCAGGGTATCTGCAGTAGCACTATCCTGTCTCTTAACAGTAGTCTTTTTTCAGAAGAAAAATAAAATGTTTTAGGCAAAGAAAAAGTCGTAATTTTAACAGGAGCATAGTGGAAGATTTCTTGAGGTGTGTAGGTATTTTCTGACACTTGGTTTTATTTTGATCTGATTTATGTTGGGCAAAAACACAGTGTTTTTTAATTTCATAATATGAATAGTTTTATGGAATAACTGTTAATTGTATGTCAGCATAATGTTGATAGCAAAGAGCTGCTTTTGAAACAAAAATTCTAAAACTGCCTCTAGGTTTGTGCTTCATTAATTGTGTGATACTGCACGCTTAAAGAAGAAAGGCTGGGTAGAGCAATGCAACTGCAGTAGCAGTAGATCTGAATTTTTTTTTCAGACCACCTGTGGTCTGAAAAATGGAATTTGGGACCTTCACAGAGCTTAAGGGGAAGATCATAATTTCTCCTTTTTTCTCCCATAGCCATATGGCGGGGGAGGTAGTTAAGTCTCCAGACTGCTAGAACGACACACCATACATACTGCCCAGGGCTATTTACCAAAGCATGAAGGCTGTCCTTTGGGATCCACTATCCTGCTATGAATTGGTACTGCTCATGAATTACCTGCCGGAGAATAATTCATCTATGTAGGCCTAAAATATTTAGCCTTTGTGGTTTTTCTTTTTGTCTTCTGTCTTTCTTAAAGACTTTTACATCAGACAGGGCTACATCTAGTAATTTACATAACTATTTAAAGGTAAAAATTCTGGTAAGTTTCAAGGACTTGCGAGTTTGTTCAACAAATACGAAGAAAGTTTAAACAAAAATATGTACTTGTCCATGTCTTTCCATTGTTTGACTTTCACACTGTTCTTAAAATGTTTCCTCCTTGATCAGAAGAGGCAGATGGATGCACCAGATCTAGTTTCTACAGTGTGGTCTGGGAAACCAGAACTTTTGCTCACAGAAAGTGTGCGCCATATCGCTGATACTGTGTTTGGTTGCAGTGCATCTGTGTGTATTGCATTACAATAATGGCTTCTCAATGTAAGGAACATGGTGAAAGTTGCTCAACACAGCATAAATTACTTTTCAGAAAAATATCCTCTTTCTAGCTTGTTAATCTTGGAAGAAACTATAGCTCTAGTAGGTAAAAGCAGAAATGTCATTGGGCCAGCTCTCCTTTAAACTATCAGAAAAGAGGCATAGGTTTTTGTTCATACATATGATCACTTAACCTGTTACAAGGAGGTTATGCTGTTCACATCTCTTATTTGAAGTTTTAAATGTCTTAACCAAAATCATTGAAAAGTAATAGCAGTAAAGGAATCTGTAGGAGATTTGGGCAATATAAGCAGCAGATATTTCCCAGACACAAAACTTACAAACAGTTGTCTTTGTCTTATGAATCTTTTCAGGACACCTTGACCTTCTAAGAGAAGCCTAGTGTAGCAAGAGCTAGTCACCCTGCAGCAAAAAACTGGGGAAAGTTCATAGTCTCTTCAGCATGACTACTTTAGAGGCAACTGAAACGCATCTTTGCTTCTGACGTTTTCTGCTAGGATAATGTTACTCTCTATATATGCTTACAAATATAAAAATAAAAAATATAGATCTCATAAACCACTATTAACATGAGCCATTGTGTGCCTGGTATTTTAGAACAACTTAAAAGTAGGTCCTCACCTTCAGGATTTCTAATGTACTATACATAGCACATAATGTAGGTGGCCTGGAATAGCTTCTGGGCTTTAAAAGACTTCTGTAGGTACTTCAGGAACTTTGGAGTGGATGTCCTTTATCTGGAAAAAAAGTGTACATTATAGCTATATATGAATAACTCTTCTTCATTATGCTTTTATGAGAGCATTTCTCTGACCTGTAGAGGATTCCAATGATGGGATGTCTCGTTTTTGGAGAAACACAGGTTAGATGGCATCCATCCAATATTTACATATACAACAAAAGGGGGGGGGGGGGGGGGGGGGAAGGATTTGTCCTTTGAAATATTAGGGGTGAAGTAAGAGATTTGGTGTATTTCACAGCTATGGAAGAAAAGAAATGTAAGATGAATATTCAGCTAAAAATATAGGTACCTAGACTAAATGCAATGAAAACTCTCTCTACCTTACCTTATTTCCTTGGGTTCCTCTTCTGCTTAAGATACCAAAAAGAGATGCAAAATATCAGGTTCAGACCTGTTCTGTGACCTGTGGTAGATTATGTCATCTCTTTGCTGCAACTGCCCCGATGAAATATGAATAAAACTTCTCACAGGGGTAGTGAATCTGAACTTGAAATGGAAGTGTCAAAGAACAGTTTATGTAAGTTAGTGTCACAAACTGGCTTTGTAAGCCCGTGGTGCAGTGTCTCCATTTTCATTATCAATTGCATTACCGGTTTCTGAAAAAATGTAGGGTTCATTTTGCAGAATATCTTTTGTGTTTTGCCAATTAAATCCTGCAAAACTCAGAGGAATGCTGTTGGGGGGGGTGGTTTTGTTTTTTCTTGTTAAAGAGCTAAAATGAGTATTTGGAAGCAGCATTGCTAAGGCTGACTGTATGGCCTTAGGGGCTGGGTACTTGGATGGCTGATGTTGCAGGTTGCCTAATCTCATGATTACTTAGGACAGTTGTGTAGTAAAATGTCTGTGGTGCAAAGCAACATGCTTCGCTGGTTTATTTATGCAGGCTTTTTACTGAAAACAGAACAATTTCCTAGCTCAACTACCTGCCTGTCGTTATCTAAGTTCTTTGCAGTGGTTGTCGATATGTCATCTTGTTGAATTTGAAACCTTATTTTGTGTTATCTTGTAGACTTTGGTTGGTTGCAGAAGACCTTCACAAATGGCAATGTTTTTGGTTTGGTTTGAAGGGTTTAAACATTCCAGTTCTTTACACTGGAAACAAGCATATGTCTTACGATGCCTGAAACTATTGAAACTACCTGAGGACTGAGATGCATTATTATTAGCTTAGCTCTTGAAGTTGTTTCCAGTTTTGCATTGTCTATTCAATTAAGAAATTACAGAACAAAAAATGTAATATATAACAGGAGGAGTGTATCGTTGAAAATAAATAGTGTTTCACAAGATCATAAACCTGCAATATTGAGGCATCATCTAGCAGCTTTTACTTGTGATTCTGAATTCAGTTTTTTTTTCCTTTAATCTAATTCTCTCTAATTGCTTTGAGACCCTGAACCCAATGTATATGTCTCATTTTGGGATAAAAATGTATTGGAAAAACAGGCATCAAATAACGAGAGGGGCTGAAAAATAATACATCTTTTTATTTGGTCTCTACCTGCCTGTCTTTAGGACTTTTAGATGACATTTGGTTTACTTTTTTTTTTTTCCTGAGCTTCTGGCAGAGTATTGTTTCTTCTTTATATCACAAGTCTCAGAATTAGAATGAGCATCTATGTCGTGTGCTATATAGTGTAGTCACTTCTAATGCAGTGGTCAGATGTTTACGTCATAGATTTGTTTGGCCTATTTTGTCACAAACTATTTTATAAATAGGTATATATGCTTTTGATATTCTTTACTAATATCCTAATGCTGGCCTGTTTCTGGGACTAATATTTAGTCCAACATGTATGGGTAACTAGCTTTTGGCAGCTTATATCTCTCTCCCTCATTTGAACAGACAGTTTGAAATGTGATTTGAGCTTCAGGCCATGTAATTTCTTGAATTGTTTATAAAATCCGGGAACTAGTCATTTGGGAACCTGTACAATATTCTGTAGCGGTCAAAATAAGCTTTTGAAAGGAGCCATTTACAGCCGTCAGAAGAATCTCAACATGTGATGTTTTGCTACATCTCTCATTCATTTTGAATGCTCAGAAAAGCATTCTCCTTTCAGAAGTTAGTAACTAGAAAAATAGTTGAGAAGGCATGGTTGCTTTCAGTCTTTGCCTTGAGCTTTCTGTTGAATCTCTACAATAAAGGGAGACTCATGTGTACAGTTAAGCACACTGCATCAGAAACCTTTATCTTTTTAAGAAAAGGGGGAGAGTAAGAAAAAAAACATGAAAAGGGTATTTTAAAGAAACCATTCACATTTCTTATCCTTTTGCTTTGACAACATCAATATTAATGAATCCTTCCTGCCCCAATATAGTTAGCATTTCCTAAGTATTTTATAGTTACTGTAAGCTGACATTTATTTTTCTTCTCATGAAAATATAAACGTGCTTCCTCCTGACAAAGCAGTTAGGTTTTTGTGTATGTTGTATGCCTGTGGGCACACAAATATCTTTAGTGGCTGTTGTTTGCTTCAATCATGCTTTTAAATTCTGGCAAATCTCTTATTTTGACAATTGAAGAAGTCAAACCATTCAGTTATACTGTGGATGACACATCATCACTGTTGGCTGCAGATCCTATCAGTTTCTCTTAATAAATTACTGATTGTTGCATGTGTATTCTTTGTGAACCAAACGAGAGTAGAAGAGCTACAAGAATTGCCTTATGCTCTCTTCTCTATACAGACCTAATTCCTTACTCAAACAGACAGTTCATACAAATAGTTTCTTTGAATGAAGGCTAAAGAAGTAGCATATCCTTTAGTCCATAGAAGTCAGGGGAAAGGTCCTATTTTACCGTAAACATTTCACCCAAACTGATAATATTCTTAACACATTTATAATATTGTGAACACTTTCATAGTGTTATTGATCATCGTATTTAAATCTGTAATTAACAAACTGTTTTTTCAAATGGTCCTGTACGAGTATATTTTACACCTCAAAATATAATGCAGTTCACTGACAAGTCCTATGCTATTTTTCGTATTTCATAATTGTAAGTAAATTTGTAATTAACACTGAAAATTATTTTACCTATAAGTTTGATAGGAAAAAGCTTAAATTATTTGCTGTTCTGGATTTAAGTAATCTAACTCATCTTGTTTCTGCTTTTAATTGTCTATGTTAATGCTGTGCATTGTCAATTCCAACTAAATTTGCCTTCACATATAGCTAATGAATTGGTTTAATTGTATGTAGAAGCACTGTGCAGATAAATCAGTATATACCTCATTAGTGTCCACTGTGGGTTCTGTAGACTTGATGTCTGAAGCTATAGTAAATAACTACAAGTGCTCTGGGGAACTTTATTCTCTTGTTGTTTTGTCATTTTTGATACAAGTTTAATGCTAAGAGTGTGTGGTGGACTTAGAAATGTTGATATACTTCTGTGAAATCTTTTGTAGATCCAGAGAGGGCTTGTTATCTACGTATGCTTCTTCAAAGGTGCTGATGAGGATCTTGTTCCAAAAATTGGTATGATATACTCCTCCTTACAACTTCTTGCATTGTTTAAAGAATTAGAATAGTGGTTGAAGCAGAGAAGGCAGCAACCACTTAGAATAAAAGAAGTCAAAACCCTTCAGACAGCATCATTCCAAATCAAACAGCTGACTGAAAGAAAAGTTTGGTTGCTCGTTTCATTTGGTGGTTTTCCATCTCTCTCCCTCTGTCCATTTGCTAATGACTGACTTGCTACAAAATCAGTTCACACTGAATGTTCATGGTAACGTTGCAGGAAAGAGAGAAAATATTGCACCTACTCTTGGCATATTACATATATTAGGCAATAGCTTCAGTCCAGGACTAAGCTCAACTTTAGGAAAACTATTTTCCAGTAATTTATGTCTTGATTTAAGGAATACTTTAATTCTGATCTCGCTATATGTGTAGCATATTGAAAACTATAGCCGGCAGAGAGAGTTGGGTGGATAATTAGCGTCCTTCCCATTTCTTTCAGAAGTACTATATACAGTGCTAGTCGTTCAAGTGCAGTTTTCCAGATCAAAAGTAGTAACAGCAGCATCTGCAGTTCTTTCCTTCTTTCCAGCACCCTTTTTAACATTTACATCAAAGTGGAGAAGATGCTGTGAAAAAGGCCAAATGGTAGTGATTTCTCTCAACCTTCATCCAGTGTGGTTTCGTTTTTGTTTTTTATTTTTATTTTATTTCTTCCCCCTCCTTACCTCCATCAGCAGTGCTGGATCACCTGGGAAATTCAGTGATCTCATGTATTTTGCATAACAGTGCTCCTTTTCTTTTTTTGTGGCTTGTTGATAGTTTTGCAAAAGATCATGCAGCAGTAGTCTTATTTCAAGCTACTTGCTGGGACCAGCAGGAAAAGACCTGGCAACGCACAAGCACAGGTGCTACTGTAAACGCTGAGAGCAGCTCCTGTGGGATTCCGTCTCAGTCTTGGAGGGCACAGTCGTTGTGACACTAAACTAAGTTGAAATCTTTGGGTATATTTAAAACAGCATGACAGGAAAGATACAGTTGTGCTTGTGAGAGTTTCATGAGACTGTTACTTGAGAATAATGACCTTTCAGCTGTGTGGCAGCTGAAATAGGGCAGAAAATGGAAGCTCTGTTTCCTATTAGGAGATCCACCACCATCATCGTTCACCGTCTGTCCTTCTTAAGGGATATTTTTCCTAAATATATTTTGAAACTGATTAAATGAGGTTTTTTTGTTGTTGTTTCTGAATCATAATGCAACTCTTTTTGCTTCAAACAATATTCCTCCATGAAACTTCCATGGATTTAGAGAGATCTCTGACCTTCATCGCTCTCTCTTCTCTCAAAAGAAAAGCTGAGATCTGCACATTGCTAAGTGGAATCCCGAAGGGCACTCTAGTTCAGACTGAGCTGCTGAGCCTGTGACACTCTCCACACCATCCACTTTGCTTCAGCAGAATCATTTGGGTTTTTGATTCCCAACAATCTATTATAACTAGAATTAAAGGAAATTCTGGACAGAAACTTCCCCGAAGTGTATTAAAGATTTTATCTCCTACAATGTGTAGCGTGGTCCAAATGTCACTTGTTTGAGCCTCGGACTCGAGTTAGAGTCACTGCTTGGCTCTTAGGTTTTCTGTGGGAAGCTTCTGGCTTCAGATAGCCAACCACTTCCCCCAAAATCAACTCTTTAGACATAATACATTAATACAGTCTTTCACATTCTTCACAATATTCAGAAATCTTAGTCTGTTAATAATATTGACCGCCCATGTTTTGTCTCATTAATAATCAGCTTCTTTCCTCTTTTTAAATATTTCTATACAGCTGTACTAAGTAATTTGATTATCGGAGTTCAGATACAGAACTGACAAAGTACTTTAAATGTTTTACTGAAATGGTTTGTAACACATCTCAGTATTTGTTAAATCTTGTTTTATGACGTTATATTAGGCCTCGTTTAATTTACTTTAGTTACACTAATTCTTGTTTTATTTTTATTTGCAGTCAATATGCTGTTGAATGTTCAATTAAGTGAAAGTGAAAGTGGCAAGTACGTTTCTGTTCTTGATTTACCAGGAAACGTGCTAATCATACCTCAAGCTACACTAGGTGGTAAACTGAAGGGAAAAAAGATGCAGTACCATGCCAACATTGAAAAAGAAAAAGGGCTGGAACTTTATTCTCAATTTGTGACTCTGTGTGAAAAGGAACTGGCTGCCAATGCCAAATGCACAGAAGCAGGTGTTTTTGTTAAGCATGGCACATATGGAAACAGACAGGTGTTAAAACTGGATACAGATGGACCTTTCACTCATCTGATTGAATTTTGAAAAAATAAATGATATCCTGGATACAGTATTGGCTCGCAATTGTATTTTTTTTTCATTTCTAAGTATTGATGCAGTTAAGTGAATTGGTCGGTACAGTATAAGGAAGACTGTTTCACTCATTTATACTGGTGTGGCAAATCACATTAAATACAAGGATATCTGAGACTGCTGAGCCTGTGACACTCTCCACACCATCCACTTTGCTTCAGCAGAATCATTTGGGTTTTTGATTCCCAACAATCTATTATAACTGGAATTAAAGGAAATTCTTTATGTGTTTTAATTCTAATATGTGTTTTACATCCCTCTTCATGTGAAGTATTCTCAAGATAATTGTTAAGATTTATCCAATGAAAACATCTAACAGAAGGGTTTTTTACATAAATTCTAGTAGTGGAGGTAATACCTATGTTTGCTACTTTAACATAATGACCGAGGTATTGCATGTAAAGTGCATTAGGGAAGTGAAGTTTATAGGTTAAAAAAGTGTGCTGTAGGTATGATTCTTTGTTCCCTGAATTCCTGATTCAGCCACTTTTTTTTTTTTAAAATCCTTCTGTTTCTCATCTATAAAATAGAAATACCTTCTACCTCACAAAGATACTAGAAGCATAAATTCACTGAATCGTTAGCCTCTCAGATAGTAGGTACCATGTAATACAGGCTGCCCCCCTCATCCATTGTGTGTGGAGGTGGGATGCTTTTAGGCAGTACTAGGATTGAACACAGCGTGTACCTCTAGTCATAGGGCCTTGAGGAAGAAATAGTGAGGCACGCTAGAGGCCGAAGTCAAAGAAGTACCATTGAATTGCTTTCTCAGAGTTTGCACTGAGTCTCCTGTGATGCGTGCTGCTGGCTGTTTGCTGTAACTTACTCCATGTCCTGGTTTCTTTGGTCTTGTTATGTATTCACATATTCCCATTCACGTATTTCTTTCATAACATAGCTTCAGGAAAAAGGACTAAAATATTAAAGTGAAAACAAAGATAAAAATGATAGGATATATGCTGCCATCTCATTGTTCTCTCTGCCTGAATTCTTTCCTTCCACCTTTCTATTGAGTCTGTGAAACAGAGACTGGCTTATATTCCTTATATATACAGTGCCTGGCACGTTGAGGCCCTAATCCCTGCTGGTCCCCTATGCAGTACTGTAATAAACATTATTAACAAAAAGGCATACTGGGACATTCTGTGCTGCAAGGCAGTAAGAACAAAACAGTTGCATTAAAATGTACCAAATTCAAAGTAGATTCAACCTGAGTCCAGTTTCCCCTTTATTGCCACATAGTTTCTGAAGTCAGTAACTTAGAAGGGTTCAAAATGAATTTAGAACAGTTATATCATTTGCCATAAATATCCAGAATTCTAACTTAGAAATAAGTTCTTCTGGAAAAGGTGTAAAACCTCATGCTTAGCGTGTATACCAGCTTCTGTATGTTGGAGACTATCATGACAAGACCAGAGCAGCGACAAATTCTTTCACATATGTTTATATCTTCCTCTGATAGAAGATGCTGCTGGAAACAAAACAGCTGGATCGTAGGTCCTGCAGATTCTGGTAAGTCCTAAGTTTTTAAGTTAGGTAATGGACCGTTTTCTGTTCCCTTGTGTAGTCTTAAACTGTGAATCAGTATTTACAAATTTTCTGTCCCTATCTTTAAAACATAATTGAATGTGTAATCTTGCAGGCTCAAAGTACATCATGAGAATCACATTTTTGAACACGTAAAAAGCTCTTAGTTTTGATACAAGAGAGTAATAGGATTTTTCATATTACTGTAATGTACAGTTAGTAATTATAAAATACTTTAGGATGCTGAATTCCTGGCAATTGGTATTCTTACAGCTGAAAAAAAAAACTAATCACATAAATGGTGATGGAAATGGAAATATTAGCTAGGTTCCAAATTACATATTTATTCATTAATAATTAACAGTTATGATGGATACAATATGAATCATGTGCCAAGTTCTTACTAGAGACATTTAAATAAGATTGTCCTGGTGTTAATAACTGATACAAGTTCATCCTGATTTTTGTCTGCTTGGAAACAAAATTTATTCTTCTTTCTGTTGTAGGCCAAATCCTGAAATATCCTGAGTAATACCACTTTTCACTGACCTTACAGGAGTTGCAGGTATTCAGTAGATCTCAATAACTGATCCTTTGAGGCCTAACAGAAAGTCTGTAGGTTTGTTTTTTTTTCCCTCTGGCTCTAGAAAAATCTTTGAAAGCCTGACAAATCATTCTCTTTATTTCAAGTACTCTGCAAATTCAAAGAGGAGATGAGATTGAAAATATTTAGTATAAAACAGACTTCAGACTGACCTCTACCTTGAACTGATATCACTGGTATAAAAGATATATGAAGTTATCTTATATAAAAGATATATTTCAGTAGTTCTTAGGACAAGACAAAACTCTTGAGTTTCTGTAAACATAGGGTGGCATCTTTGTGTATTTACTTATCCGCCAGCTTTAGATTTATTTGTTTATCTGTCTTGGGATACCAATTTCTGCAATCTTGCTGCAGCAAAGATTGACACCTTGTTGAATGATAAGCCATTTGTACTGCTTTATTTACATTTATTATTGATTTGTGTTCCATTTACTGAAAATAGCCATTTCTGAATAACGTGGTGGACTATACTGATGAAAAAATTGATTAAATTTATTTTTCAAAGCCGAATGCTCATATCTTTCTGACATGAATATATGCCTTAAACAGATGACTTGACACTGCTTTAAATAGCTTTTATTCTATGACTAGACAAAAGCTCAAATGATTTTCCTGTTCTATATTTAGAGAATATCTGTTGGATGATATTTATTATTCTGACTTCCTTGAAATAAACTAAAAGATCAGAAGGAGTCTTTATGCTAACTTAGTCTGGCCTCCTCTACAGAGGAGGGCTCAACTATCGCACAGAAATCCTTAGATCAGGTTTTTACAAACTCATTTGCAGTGTACACACCCAGTGAGTATGCATGGACTATGGACTGTGCTCATAAAACTAATGAGTTCAGGTGCAGTAGCTTATCATCTAGTTAGCAGTACTGCTGCTTCCTTCCCATGCCCTTTGTGGGCATCTTTACCTCTGCTGTAACATATGTTATGCAAAATCAAGCAAACTTTTATTTTTCTTTGTGTAATCTGGGATTTGGTTTGCTGTTTGCAGTAAAGCTCTCAAAATACAGAGCATTTTACCTGAATGCCCTACATAGGTGCCAACAAAATTGTTCTGCTTGTATAATTGACTTGCTTTGCTCTTTAAAATGGAATGGGTATGCAGATGTCCATCCAAATTTGAAAACTTTTAGTTTTTGAAATCTCTGAATTTGGCACATTGGCCATCTTGATTTCATATTTTCGCAACTTGTACTGGGGCCTCTATGACACCATGTAGCCCTGTAGTAATACAGTATTGCTAGTAACAAGCTACAGATTTATCCTGAGTTTGCAAGGCCTCAGAACTGAGGCTCATATCAGACTTGCTTTGTCTGAACTTTTCTTGACCTTCCTGGATCCTTGGTTTTTCTAATGACAGGTAGCTATGGTTTGTTTCAGCTTTGCTTTCTATGGTATAACCACAGTTTTTATAATAGTAACGAGCAGTTGTGTAAAATGAGATACTAATACTATAGTATTAGAACTAGATACCTAATACTATAGTGTAGAGAAATAACAGGCCTGTTACGATAGCAGAAGCCTTGAGAAGAGAAGACATAAGATGCAGTGTAGAGGAGGACGCAAGCTGTCACTGGAGACCCAGTTATACACAGCTCACCAATGGTCAGTTAAAGAAATGCAGACCTGGACAAAAACAGTTTTGGGGTAAAAAAGGGAAGAATGAACAACTAATAGGCATATAATGCACCATATATAGTAAATGTGGATGTCATGCGGAGTTGCAGACAAATGAAGAAAAAGTGAGATGTAAAAAGCATGTTAGAAAACATATAAAATAGCCCCAGATCAATCCAAATAAATAAAAAAGAGAGGAAGAAGAAGAACCATAAACAGCAGTATCATATTCCTCCCAGCAGAGAACTCAGCATGCTGATGATCCACCATACCTCCTTCCGCTACGTGGAAGCCATCTGTCTTAGGAGCCAGAGGGACAGTGGAAGGGCAAGCACAACAGCAGAAGAAGTAGATACTAGAAGTGCATGCATAACAATTTTAACTGTATTATTATTGAGACTTTCTGTACAGTGGTATTCATTTCTTTATTTTCCTTTCCTTTTTTTCCTCCAATAATTAGATCTGGATTACTAATAATTCTTTGATTAAACTGCTAAGATTGCAATTATAAGAAGTTCTTGGCTTTGCACATGGAGTATGTTTCTTTTTGCCTGTGACAAGGTTTTGCACGTAACAGCCATTGCAGACTGTTACTTCCTCATCTTGAAATGGCATCTACTTGATAGACTATTGGATATTTGCCAGCTTCTGTGCTGGTTTTCACAGGGCCTTTCAGTGTAACTGTGATGCCTGATCTTGTTTACCACAAAAGCTACATGAGAGTTTCTTTCTTTGCTCTGACTGTGCAAGCTGTTCAGTCACTTCTTGAGAACAAGTGAGTTCCATCCAGTCTGAGGCGCTTACTTGGTTTTAAAAGTGGTGCATGATCAGGTGAACCTCACCCATCACGTAAAAATAGCGTCTATCTAGAGATAGGGCTACAAATCTTTTAAAGTTAATCTGCCTTTATTTTCTGGTTTTAGTCTCTAACATTCTCTACTTTTCTATGTGGTCTTCTGTAAACGCATTATGTATCTACTCCAAAGCTAGAGTGGAAGTATGTTACTGAGTGCTAGAGCAGTCTCAGGAAATCCACCGCTTGGTTACCTGAGGTCTGCCACCAACCCTTTGTGCAACTGGCTTAATTTCTTCATTTCTTCGTGTCTCAGTTGTCTTCTAATAAATGGGTCCTCAGCAGGTTGCTACTTAAGACTGCATATTCAGGAAAACAAAGGCTCACTGTGTTAGTGCATTGCATAGCACAATGAGACCTGACTCTAGATCCACAAGCTGCTTTGTCTTAGAAGCAAGGATCACAGTAGCTGGACAAGAACAGAAAACTCTGTCTTGGGAAAAGATCAGCCAAAATCTGAGAATCTCTCTTATGAATTCAGTGAATTTGATATGTCTTATTCCTTCATACTCTACTGAAGTTCCTAGAAGGCAACTCAGAATTTGGAAATCACTACAATGAGATATGTGCCAAGAACTGTGCTACCAGAAGTGCTGTGCAACTGCAGCTGAGGAGTATATGGCTAAAATGGTGTAAGTGGGGAACGGGAAGAAACAGCAGTTAGAATAGCCTGAATACTATGAAAGTATTGCAAATTTTCTATTTTAACCAGCACTCTCCACTAGTCCAATTATTGCCAGTGTGTGGCTTTAGGCAAAGCAATTTTCTGCTCCACTTTTTCCAACTATAAGATGAAACTAGAATGAAAAGGGAGAAAAAGGGGTTTAAAATCACTACTTTTTTTCTTTTTTTCTTTTTTTTTCTAACGGCAGAAAATCACCTCTATTCCTCTTTTTGCTTTGGAATGCAGGTGCTGGAGCTTTATGAGTTTGCCTTTCAACTCCCTTCTACCTTAGCTTCTGCTTCACAAATATATTTTGAGCTAATGTCCATAGACGACTTTGAGTACCTCAAATGAACAATGTTATATCACTGCAAACAACACTATATTATTTCTAAAATAGGAATGACATACACAGTATGGAAAAACAAATAAATAGTATTCCTGTCACGCTCTTTTAGTTCATATATATTTGTGCATCTTGTTACCGTAAATTTAAGATTGCGTTCTATTCACTTTAATTGTATTTGCCTGTGTAAGTGTCACAATATGCACCCTGTTAGGTTAGTATGTACTAAAAATGTGCACGTACAGAGCTTAGGCTATTTAGATGTGCTGCATTACAAAAGAGATTGCAACATCGTTTTTGGATTACCAGTGAAAGTAAAAGGTTCTTGGGGGGCCTCAACAGTCAGTTGGATATCCATATCTGGATCTCACTCATGTGCAGTTTATTCTTGTCAGAATACTTTATCCAGGATTCTTCAGATATTAAAAACTGCCAGAAATATATTATTTATTTTTAACAGTAAATAATGATTTTTTTAATTCATACATTGAACTGTTTGAGGCTTGTGTCATGTTTTTGATAGCACTTACTTCCCTTACTGATTTCACACTTCCATTTTGATAACTGCATCTAACATTTTTCTAGGCCTGCATAATACTTTTGTTTATCTTTTAGGATTAAAAATAATAATAGGACTGTGCACACTTGCAAAAACAGCAACTGCTTAGCAGGACTTCAGGCCTTGTATTTTGAAAAAGAACCGGGGTTCGGGATAAACAGAAATCTAGCAGTATTTAAGCATAAAATTACATGGTATACAATTTTATATACTAAATCCATAAAAACAAACAAAAAAAAACCCATAGCTAAGGCTTTGCAAAAGCTAGGACAGACCAAACTACACTGGATTCTACATACCTTCAGAAGGCCTCTACTACAGAAAAGCAAATTTCACTTTTGGGATTAGAAACCCTCACATAGTTAGTGTCTCAAATGAGAGAGCAGTAATAAACAGCCATGTGTAGTAACGAGCTACACTGCCTCAGCAGTTCTAGAAATGAACATTTTACACTCTTCTAGACAAATTAATAACTTGATTCATACTAAAACCAAATGTGGCTTGCCTGTTGCTAATGGTGTAGCTGTTTGCAGGATCAGACCTTAATGGTCTGATTCTGTACTTAAATGGCTACATTGACTGGATAATTTTAATATAATTGCAGAAAGTAAAAATAAATGTTTAATATAATAATTAATCTAAGACATTACTTTTTACAGGTTTTAAAATACAATGGAATTTAATTTTATTTGCTATATTATTTGGGGATTTTTCACCTGCTTTAAATCAAGCCCCTGGTCCTGAGATTCTTTCTTATGCGTACACAGTTAGTCCTGCTGAATTCAGAGGAATATATTCTTTCTGTTGCAGTAGTCACCGAGGATCATACAGCTATAAATAAGAAAATATTTAGCTCGGAGGCACAGAAGACTGTTTAGATATTCTACTACGCCTGAAATTTGCATGGCAG